CAATTTTTTTTCGAATGTTTTTCAGTCCTATCTTGGGATTCAAAATCTTTAAAGTTTCGAAAAAAAAATGTTTTAATGATATTAGATTTCTCGGTCATTTTTTGACTAAAACCATTGCCCTATTAGTCTTTTTTACTGTGACTTTCGAATTTGATAAAACTATGTTTTTGTTAGATCCTTTTATCATACGGCTCACAGAAATGAACACAAATTTGAAAAAAAAATGAAGGTTTTAAAGTATTTTTTGTGAGTATGGTCGGAACATTCTGTGCTACTTGCGCAGCAACCGGTTATCCTGGTATCCATTTGAATATTTTCGATTATTGGTCCCACTTCAAAGTCGAAGAAAACTATTTCAATCGCTTGAAGTTCTAATCCAAATTTTATTTAGATTAAAAATGCTAAAGGTGTTGCTTTTAATTACACAGCTTAAGTTCTGCATATAATTACCCATAAAAATCTGGAGCTGGTAAGTATTCTTAACTTTCACAGTCAACCGTAGCAAGAGCCTCTTTTGTAGATTGGTTTTATTCCCCGAAGAAAGAAAAAAATCTATCTCCGGTGGTTAATTGATCAGCTGCGCCGCTGCACAACTTCAAGGGCGGCGCATAAAAACAACGTCAAGATATTCATATCCCGGGGCAAATTTTCCTGTTTATCTTTTACGGTTTTTCTCAAAGTTGCCGTAAGGTAGAAGGAGGGCTTTAAAATTAGAACCATTTTCCGTTGTCATTTTTATTCGATTGTAGCTCTTTTAATTTTAATCTTCCGTACAATTTTCTAATTTAATTTTGACCCTCGTCCTATTTTATTCTGCTCTACGTTACAAATTGAAAAAAAAAACATAGTGGCCAATTGAGACAATTTTTAAATCGTACCATTTTTCCTTTCAGTTCTGACCTGTTCATTGTGAAAGGTAATTAGCACCTGCTCCTAAATCCATTATTTGATCGATTTGGCAATCTTTATATAATTCATCTTTGCCATGGCGCTAAAAATTAGTCTATTCAGTCTCGTTTTAATTTTCAACGTCGCGCAAAAAATATTAGCAGCCGACCAGTCGGAACAACCGGCGCATTTCACTGAAAACTGGGAAGTGTTGTCGCCCTGGGAGCTTCCAAGCGGCGGAGATAAGCCGGACTCTGGAGTCAAATGGCATGTCGGCAGTGGTTTTGGAGACGAGGAAAGTTCGTTCAAGAGACACTGGGATCCATGGGGTATTCCTAGATGAACTTCAACTATCGAAGTTATCTTGAACTTGAACTATTAATTGAACCATTTAATTGATATTATAACTCTTAGATGTTTGCTAACTATTAATTACGATTTAAAAATCAAAAAATGTATTTGGTAATTGTTTTCTGCAGTCTGGGTTGCAATCGATATTTCGAAAAGGCAAGCAAATAAAAAAACTCAAGGGAAAAATTATCAGTTGAAAATTCTCATTGAGCTTACTAGCAACCCTTCGTTATTGAATACGAATCGTAGAAAACTACTCCCCCCCCCCCCAACCTGAGAATTTTATAAGTATTTTTTCCGCTCACATTGTCCGATTATTACAAGATTAGGCCGTGGCAAACATATTTTAGACATCATACTCAACCTTGTAAAATCATTTGTTACACCCATAAAATCGATGCTCAATTGTGGTAACGGGGAGGGAAAAGCCGAGAGCTGTTTTTTGCTCAAGAAAGGGTGAATCTAATCTGTTCACAGCAGACGCCTTCAAAGTAGTTGAGGAAACGCGAAACTTCTTCACAGTAGCTAAAAATTTTTGAATTGTTTCCTCTCTAATTCCTCTCTTGCAGCACCGAATGCCTGATTCTTTATTTAGAATATTCTGCGCCTTAAGCAGAATATTCTAATTATTTTCTTAGGAATATGATAATTTCTTGCTTTAAGAAAAGGGGTAACACACAAAAGTTCCAGGGGACAAAATTGATATCGATATTTTGACCATTTTGGTTATAATTTAGACATTTTTGTTCCGATTTTTGTAGCAAAAGTAACGGAGTATTTTTACTCGGGGTGGGTTTTTTTCTTCAGACAAATTTTGACTTTTTATTGTTTCGACTTTCGTAACGAAAGTAACGGAATATTTGTACTCGGGGTGGTTTTTTTTTCTTCAGACAAATTTCAACTTTTTAACTAGCCATTTTTGGGGGAATTTTGTATCATTCGAAAGGTATTGTTGTCTTGAACTCAAATTTGAAAAAAAATTTAACTGTCATCATTTTTCGTAAAGTTATTGGGGCTTAAAGTTTTGATCAATTTGGGACAATTTTGACCAATTTGGGACAATTAACGCTCGATATATTTCGCGCTATTAACGCGTAAGCGGAGATTTAATCCGTCTTAACAATCGTTCCAAATTGGTTGAAGGAAGCTGATGTGCCATAATTGATGTGTTACTAGGAGCGAAACCTATCACTTTGTACTTCATATGGCGTGTGGGGGGATGATTTTCACAAAAACACTTCCTCAAATTTTAGAAAAAAATTTTCATTTTTTTATTAGACTTAATTTTTTATGTTATTACTATGCTCCAAAGAACTTGAAAGGCAGTCGGAACATGCAGGGCTTCGCCCTGATACGAGCAGTGTTGTTAATTTTTTTATAATTGATTAAAAACTTGTTAAATTGATCAAAAATTTAAGTCAATGTTTGCTGCCGCTCTGCAAAGAATTCAAGCCTCTTGATGAAGAAAAACTTGATGAAGAAAAAGAGTGTTTGCTGCCGCTCTACTAAGAATTCAAGTCACTTGATAAAGAAAAACTGCACGTGAAAAATGATCATTAAGTGGATATTGGCCATAATTCAGGACACTAATTATTTAAGGAATTTCAGGTTTGTATAACTAAAAGCTTTATATTTGCATCGCTCAAAGGCTTTTACTATGTCAAACAAAATCTTTATTCAATTTTTTTTGATCGAGCTCTTAAAAGTTATTTTTATCTGACAAATTGATTGAAGTGTTTTATCTAGCCTTTTTCAAGGAATTTTTCAATCATCTGAAAGCTATTGATACGTTGAGCTCAAAATTAAAAAAGTATTTGATATGGGTTATGAAGTTTGAAAAATGTCAAATTGAGATAATAAGCGGGCAATACATTTTGTCTTGAAAGAGCGTAAGCGGCAAACCAATCATTCCAAATTGAAGTGAGGCAATCAATGTGCTCTTAACAATACGTTAACTGCAGGCCCTGTAGCTTTCCGCTGCTTAGTAGCAAAAATTCTGCTGCTTCATAAAACTCTTTATATTCATTTGATTTTCACTGCTAAATGATTTTGAAGCAATAAGGGGTATTTTGGAGGCTTTTTTGATAGTTTTGGACGTTCAGCGCAATTTTTTTCTGTTTGTTTCTTCATGGCTGAAACTTAAAACCATTTAAAGAAAAAGTACCATACTTCAAACCATTTTCTGTAATCACAATTTTTTGCCCCAATTTCTAAGAAAAGTTGAGACAGAAAAAGGTTACCAGTTTTGAGAACAAATTTAATATTGGGTAACTGTAAAAATATCCAAATTTTTGTAAGATCATCTGAAATTCCTTATGTATGCTCTATACATAAAATTCTGCGGTCTCTGCAGCTTCACAAATTTTTTATTTATCAGCTTCATTTTGCTAAATCTGCCTATTTTTGCAATCAGAAAATTCAATGGGACCTCAAAATATCATTTTTCTCAGACTTTTGAAATGTTTGTGCTCGGTAGTTTTTTATCCAAATGGGTTTTGTTTTTTAGCAAATCATTTTTGACTGGACTTTTGCATAATTTGACTTCTGCAGCAGCAATTGACTACCTGAGCTCACAAATCAATTTTAATTTTCTTGCGATCTTTTTCCGGAACGTTACGGGGGTTAGAAAAATGTCAGCTTGACCAATTTGGGATCATTAAAGCGCGATATATTTCCTGCTATTTAAGTTTAAGCGCAAAACAATTAAAATTTTACCCTAAAAACCACCCTGTTTGCAAGCGAATCTAGTTGTTCAAGCTTTTTGACTACAAACGCTAACCGATTTCTATTTTGTCGCTTTTAGGTAATTTTTTCCTAAAAGCGGCAAATTACCTAAAATTGCCGCTTTTAGGTAATTTTCAGCTTTTTTTTCTGTTGATTGAAAGCAACTTTATAGATTTTTTCCAAAAGAAAAGACACGTATCAAAACTTTGATTTCGACTCGAAATTTTAAAAACAGCGCTGCAAAGGTTTTAACAGTGATTTTACTCTGCTATTGTTCTTACAAATTTGCTTTTACTGTTTTTGCGTTGAAACAGCACTAAATTTTGCTGGCCGATCAATTAGAACCCACTAGATATTCGTTTTTCAAACGTTTTGAACCGTGTTTCATCATATTTTTACAGTGATCAGAGCGGAAAATTGCTTCATATCCTTATAAATAACCTGTGATTATATTTAGCTTTTTTAATCTTTATTTCGAAAGCAACTTTGAAAATTACTCGTTATTTTCGATTAAACGCACTTTGTTGTGTTTCAAGCAACCATTCAAACTATATAGAGTTCTTACTAACCAAAAAGTGCATGAAAAAAACGCATAAAATATTTGTTTTAATTGGGCTTTCAGATAGCACACTCAAACAAACGCAAAGTTTAAGTCATTTAATTTGCGCCGATTTATAACTTACGTCAGTTGCTAGATAAGTCAAAACAAAAAGTGAAAGTACAATAAAAATTGTCGTAATTAATTAGATATGGTAAGACGTTTTTACGTAATCTGAAAAATATAAAGCAAGCCAGAAACGTTTCTATTACGCATTTGATTTTGTTCATTTTGTTCAGGCAGTCACCGAGTTACCGAAGTCCATTTGAACAAAGCATTTATCATCGTTGAGCTCAACTCACTTGTAAATTTTTTTTGTCAGAGCCATTTTTGCAACAGCTAACAGAAACGTATTTTAACAGAAAACCAAACGCAGTTCAGCAGAAAATTATTTTGTTCACATCGTTTTTTCTTTCAATTGTCATATTTTGGTCGAAAAATGAATTCTTCAACGGACACTACTCCCTTTTTAACTGCTGAGGAATGGAAAGCCTTCAAACACAACATGAACGACTTCTACATCATCATGACCTCGATGTTGAAGTTCCTAATGCAAGCCGGCTTTGCTTTTCTCGAAATGGGAGCGGTCCGATCCAAGAACACGACAAACATTCTTATGAAGAATATTCTAGATTCCGCAATCGGTAGTCTAGTCTACTGGATCTTCGGATATGCTCTGGCATTTGGAGAAGAATCCAACTTCTTTTGCGGCTATTCGAACTTTCTGCTAATTGACCTGACGCCTGATATGTATTCGAACTACTTTTTTCACTTCGTGTTTGCGGCGACAGCGACTACTATTGTCTCGGGCGCGATGGCCGAACGAACCCAATTCTCGGCCTATTTTGCGTACAGCTTTGTGATAACTGGAATCGTTTATCCAATAGTTTCCCACTGGGCCTGGGCGGACAATGGATGGCTCAAGGTTGACTGTTGGTGGGAAGGAATCGAGTTCGTGGACTTCGCCGGATGTGGAGTGGTGCACATGGTCGGTGGAATGGCTGGACTTATGGGAACTCTGGCTCTCGGACCCCGGTTAGACCAGTACGTAGACGGAAAACGACAGAGAGTGAAGGGCCATACAGTACCTATGATGTCCCTAGGCGCTTTCATCCTGTTTTTTGGATTCTTCGCATTCAACGGTGGATCTCAAGCCAGTATAACTGAGGAAGGAGACGGAAACGCAATCGCCAACATCCTCAAAAACACTATCCTATCCGGATCATGTGGAGGACTTTTTGTAGTGCTGTTGTTTTACATCGTGAACAGAAAATTCACACTCCTTGGATGCATCAACGGAATGATCACTGGCATGGTTGCGATTGGCGCCGGATGTGACGTCATTGACCATTGGGGAGCTTGTGTAGTGGGGCTGATTGGCGGGTTCATCTTCGTGTTCTATAGCGAGCTCCTGTTCAAACTCGGAGTTGACGATCCCCTGGACGCCATGGCCGTGCACTTCGGGGGAGGTTCCTGGGGTCTGATTGCAGTCGCGTTATTCGCCAAGAACACCGGTATTGTCTACCAATGGGACGAGCATTCGCTCAAAGTCTTGGCCTGGAATGTAGTCGGAGGGTTGGCTTTGACTGCGTGGACTATCGCTACAACTGGACCGATGTTCTTTGGACTGAAATACATGGGACTTTTGAGGGTCTCGGAGGAAGTGGAGCGACATGGCCTGGACTTGATGGAGCACGGAGAGGAAGCCTACCCTGGCGACGCTTACCTAGTGGAAGACGTCTTTAAGAAGCTCTTGCTTCGCGGAAACTCGGCGATAACCGGCGATTTTCAGGACGAGTTGGTAGAACGTGAACACATTTCGGTCGAAGAGGTGAAAAGAAAGGAAAGCCAAGGTCAGCAAGCGGCAAGGAAGTCCGGAGACTCAACTGTTGTTGAAATGTCTCAAATGAATGGAGGATACGCCCCTTCTCCCCCACAACAAACCAAAAAAGAAGGCGGCGCTATTGAAAATGTCAAATTCAGATTGAGATCCGACGAGGAGAAATTTTAATTCTATCTAAGATCGATCCTTTCGCAACAATGAACAGTTAATTGATGTCATATTTTCAAACAAAGTTTTTATAATTCCTTTTATCAGTTTTGAGCGTTTTTTAAATGTACATTGTATATTTTATGGAAATATAATACTTGCAGATTGCTTTTATAGTAAAATTTACAGCATATTACAAAAAAAAACTTTTTGCAACAGTGTCAGCTTACTAATTAATTCATATCAGAGTGATCATGAGTGACAAACGTAGAAATTTCTTGGCGAAGCGGAGGGGTCGGTTTTTTTTTAAAAAAATTACTACTAACTTATAGGTCCTTGATTTCCTTTTTGGAGCTCTCTTGAAAAACGCTAAGAATTGAATCCTGGTTCTTACCCTAAAAAATGCAATATCTGACTTTTTTGAAAAATTTAGAACTTCTCTAGAGAACATTTCAACTATGACAAAAAAAACCTGTTTCTCGGCTCATGATTCTCGGTCACAATTTTATGCATGGGAGCCTAAAATCAAATAATTTAAATTTAGTCAATGACTGCGAAAAGTAAAGGCGTCTTACTTTAGTAGTTTCGACGTTATCACTGAGCAGATAAATTGTGGCACTTGATCGTAAAAACAAGCTTCAAGTATTTTTTGCCAAAATCAAGCGTTCCCAGCTCACCATACTTTTACAGTGAGTTTTGGGAACGCGTTTAAGGGAAGTACGACGCCCCTAAAGGCCGTTGTTGATATTTGCCGAGAAATGAATCAAATAGTTTGCCAGATGGAACATTCTTTCAACGTTACAATACAAATCAGTTACATCAAAGAAGCAAACACTCAAACACGTAACAGAGGGAGAGGCAAATAGTCTTTTTTTCCCAAACCTCGTTGAAGTAATCGAGCTCCAACCACAAAAAAAAACAATTCTACCAAAAGAGAAGATTGTTGAGCAGGACAACGGTATCCAGGAAATATCAGAACGGGTTAGTTGTAGAGAAATATTCAAAAAAGCTGTGCTTACGTTTTGTAAAGATTGATTATGTTGAAAAACTGATGTCAGACATATTCGATTTCATGCGACAGTAATTGAAAATCAACCTTAGCGTCCTCAACCTAGCCGGCGGTTCACCTTTGAAATATTTATCACAATCATCAGTGAAAATTAAATTGATATTTCTTGCGGATAGAGATATAATGTGCACAAATGATCGCTGAAAAACGCGAGAACCTCAAGAATTTTCCCCATCAACAGCTTAAAAATGCCTAGCCCCTAAAAACATGAAACTAAAACTTAACCCCTAGAAACAACAAATCAAAAGCTAGCCATGAGGAATTCCCTTCTACCCACACAATCAAAATGTACGTAATCGGAGTGCAAACAACTTCTCACAAGACACGTTTCAAATAAAGCCTACAAATGAACTTAAGTCTTTTTAATCCAGACTAATGTAGCAGATCATCATCCTGGAAACCATAATGAAAGCGAAAAACTTGAAAGCTAAAACTTTCACACCACGGTCCCAAGCGACAGAAACCTTTAATTTAATATCGTCGGTGCAAAGAAAGCCACAATCAAGAAGAAGCCTTCTGATACCAAAAGATCAAGCGCTCAGCGGTAAAAAAAAGCCTGAAATTGTTCCGAGATACTTCAATCATCAAGTCCCTTGATCAAATTGACAGTTTTTTATCATCAATCAATCACCATTCAGTAATTGGAAACGACAAGTACTTAAAAACGTTAGTACAATTTCAGCCATGTATGCTTTATAACCATGAAAAACTAGACACATATAAAGCAGAGAACAGGTGCTCTGAAATTCCCTTTGCCACTTATGGGTGCCGGACATCAAGCCGACGGGACTTCAAGCCGAATTGTAAAATTAGGGACTTCAAGCCGAATAGTTCCTTATAAAGTCGTGAAATATGAATAATTTGAAAACTTTTTTGAAGAATTTCTGAATTTCATGATCTTTCTTCACTAGTTATTGGCGTTTGGATATCGTGTTTATAGCATCAACTACATCATTATACAACGCTCGGTCGTTTTCAAGAATTTTTCTCAATTATAATTCAGCTGCCTGCCTCTTTTGCGCCAGCTTGTTCGATAATTTCACTAACATCAAAGACAACATATTTTGAAAAATGTTGAGGTATTGTATTTACACTGGGGACCCTGATAGTTGCTTAGAACCCCTCTGTCACATTTTATCCAGTTGCTCATCAATTATAAGAGGATTTGCTTACACGATTTCAAAAGAATTTTCAAAATTTTCAAAAAAGCAATGAACGAACCAAGATATTCTGATTGGACTATGCAGAGAATAAGTTTAATTTCGAAGAAAAAAAAATCATATTAAATCTAGAAACAAATAATTTATCTGCTGATTTGAAGATATTTTTCAGCTTTCGAGCACTTGAAACAAAAACCTGTGGCATAAAACATAGTCATTCTCTTTCCAACAGAATCAAAACGCATGACAACAACTAATATAGTTCTGAGGCTACAATGGCCAATTAACACGGGCTTACAACACATATTGAAATGAATAAGCATTTCAAGTTGGCTGATATTTAAGAAAATGCTTCTATTGACATCGCGCAAATGCAGTTACTCCTACGATTTTTGTATTACGAAATTTTAAATCGTAGTTTACTTTTTCGAACAAATAAGAAGCTTGCTATATTGAGCGAACAAACTATTGCTTATTTTGACAATCTTTTTTACTCGAGCTCCGGCTATCAATTTTTTTATAATGCAATGAAAATATAACTGAGAAAAGCATATAGTCTGTTACTCTAACACGGTATCTGCTCGTGAAAATAAGCATAAGTTGAAAAAACAATTAAAGAAACATTTCACATGCCTCAAAATGGTATCAGCTTTGCACAATTTTTTTCCACGGTGAGAAAATTGACAAAACGTGTATCTATCTTTTCTTCGAAGAAAGATTATCATAACAAAAATGATTCAAAATTATAAATCATAAATAAATATAACAAAATATTTGTGTAACAAAACTGATTCAAAAATTAGACAGGAAACGATGGGACAATACTCGTATTACAAAAAAAACAATGGTTTATTTGAATTAGTGATCTGTGACAGTTTTCAATTTTCAACGAGCTAATTTCCAGCAGCAGCAAAATAGCGTTACATTGAAAGCATTATCGAAGTTTTCAAATTCACAGCACTTGATAAACTATCAGAGCATATTTTTGAGAGAAAAGCTAAAATTTTGAGAAAGTAGCTGAAAATAAGCCAAGGTTAACATTAAAATCTAATATAAACATTCGCTAGAAACTAGGAAGTTAGTCAGAGAGCTGCATTAGATACACCCTTTGAAAAAATACTTATCAAATAAGATGACAAATTTCGGTCAAAAACTAGAACACAGAAAAATCACGCAAAAGCTTAGTTGAAAACAGTGTTCATACAATCAATATTCAAGAAAAACAGCCAGTAAAAAATGGCTATACTAAAAAAATTACTTAGGTGATAACAAGCAGACCCTTCAAAAAATAATTCAAAAAATTAGCACAGAATAATTAGTCAAAAAACATCGAAAAAATAACACCTTGATCAATAAACATCAATCAAAGTATTCTAAAAAAAAATAGCATTAGAGCCGGGTTGACATATGGTCTCTTGAATTCGAATAGCAAATAGGACACTTTTAAACATTACCCTTACCTAAATTTTGCAAAAATTGTTGCTGGATGCTGAATGAACTCCAGTTAAAAACACTAGATAATGCAACTAAGCCGAAGACTTTTGGATCAAACTTGAATGAGGTGAATCAAACACGAGGTGAACCAAAAAATTTGTAGCAAATTAGGCGGCCACTTAACCTTTTTGGATGTTACCAGCTGAAGAGCCACATGTAATGATTGCAGGATAGATTATTTAATTTTAACTTCCACAAATATGAGTTTGCAAGCAAGCAGTTAACTGTCGAAAAACGTTGTTTTCATAGGAAAAAACTAGCATCTGAATTCAATAAAATTGCTAATCCCATCGGTACAAATTACTTATATACTATAAACCTGCTTAAAATAACATGATATACAGAGGGCATGAAGAAATTCAGAACTATTTAGTTGAGAGCAAGAAAATTTTTGTGAAATTCTTCTCGACGCTGAACTATTTTTTAGAAAATTCTTCGTAGATTCCCATCTATGTTTCGAGTTTTTGTACAATTTCATACTCAGAAGCGTTTTCATCTTTAGCTAAGTTCTAAAAATCTAGAAGCCAACTAAAACTCCTCAACTCAAAAAAAAACAATGAAAAACTACAATCAGAATTTTAATTCGATCTCATTTTGCCATCTAACACATCTAATATATTTTAACCTCGATTCATATGGCATCAATATTGTTTTTCAAAGTTCTTTGCAACTGTCGGACTGTTCGCCGGCGGGACCTCCAAGCCCCCCTTTGATTCAAAGAAAGTATACCCTAGGGCGATCTCCTTAACGTTTCTGCACCTGTAGTCAGTGACAATATCTGGATCTATGTAGAAGAACACTGGCATGTCTACTGATTCGTGGGGTTCCAGTCTCTGGTCGTCGAAGCAGAAGCACTGGATCTTGTTGAAGTAGGGTGCTGCTTCGTAGGGTATGATGTTATAGGTGGACACTCCAACTATGGCCCGTTCGGTGGGGTTCGTTGCCGTGAAAAAGGCAAGCGCCGTTTCACCTAAAGGCACATATGAGCAAAAAGTAATTTTAAAAAGGGCGAGGGATACTCTGTTCGCTAATTCATGCTACTATTTTGCTACAAAACATCGTCATTCACGTCTTTTTTATCTGACCTATATCAACTTATACTAATATTGTTGTAAAATCATATATTAATTTAAAAAATAGCTGGCAAAATATTTTAAAACTGCAGAGAATCGATAGTCGAAAATGAAAAATTAAATTTGTGAACAATTTAACTTTTTTCTTAAATACTTAATATTTCTTAATACTTAAATTGGCGTGGAATTTATTAAATTTATAAACAACTTTGATGTTAACTTTCACATAATTTACTAGACATTACAGCGGTTTCATTCTAACCCGGGTAGACCCTGACCGTCTCCTGTTGAGGTCTGAAGTCCCACAGCATCCTCGCATCTTTGGCAGAGTGGAAGCGCACTGTGATCTCCCCGTACTCCTTCACGGGGTCAATGTAGGCCAACTTCTCCGCCTTCTCGTCCCTCAAGTGGATGTTCAACTCCCCACCCAAGTTAGTAGCTTGACAGAAGGCCTGAACAACAAAATATCGTCAGTTTATTGCCTGTTATATGGAGAGTAAATAAACCAGCCGAAGTATAAGCCAACCGAAACTGCGCGCAGTATATAAGCCAGCCGAAAATTACATTACATGAATGAAATTAGCTTAACTTTCGTAACTGTTACATCATTGTTACATAACTATTATATATCACTGTGTATATGTATTTTCGGCTGGTTTACATACCACCGTAATATGAAATTGACGAACGTCTTCTCCTAACAAGGTCACAGTTGGAGGGGTCCCAGTGTCATCTGCCTCTTCAAGGTGGGGCCCGCCACGGTAAAAATCGGTCTCCCCACCGAAAGCAAGGCCCACGAGAGTACAGACGAATTAAGGTTGGGAAAAATAAAAGAAAGGCCTAAGTCGATACCGGTTAAGGAAATCCATCTACTGCCCATTAAAAAATAATAAAATCAGGTTTCTAAAAGGACGAGGACTCAAGATAATCCAAATGATTCGCGAAAACTTTTAAAAAATAGCTAGATCTAAACACTGCAGCCTTTGTATATCGGATTGAGAAGAATTAATTTTCTAAAAAGAAACATTTTTTATGAAATCAATAAGGTTCTCTTGCAATGGATTGACTATGAGACAAGACTATGAAATGAAATGAAAGACTGTGAGTTCATGAGAATATATTTTCAGACTTACCTTGTAAAGTGGCGCAGAGGCATAAGCAACACCGATGAAAAGAAAAAACCCAGAGGTGAAATAGAGTGCGTAATTTCTGTTTTCTTTCTTTTTAGACTCAGAATCTTGCCATCTTTGCGTCCGAGATTCCCTCGGTTTCAGCTTCTCGGTTTCATTTGAGCTCGAACATCTATAAATTCCCAAAATAACACCACGTAACGAAGGTCTGCACAATCGAGAAAGAGTGAAAAAGCCCCTTCGTGAAATAATTGACCGTGGCAAAAACAAACTGAAGCTAGTGTGCTTTAGAGGTCTGGTAGTATTGGCACATCGTTTGAGACTCCCAAACACGACGGCGGTCAAAATTGTCATAATTTTCAGTTGTTCTGAAAGTTTACATCTTTCAAGCTGAAAACAATTTTCTTTCCAACCCAGCGAAACTTTTCAGATATTCGTGCGTTATTGAAGAAAATGAGCCATTTGCAACTTAATGAACGATGAGTAATTATCGCAGCCAAAAGCTTTATGTTGGTACATTTATTTCGAAAGCACAAAAGTTTCAAATTCTTTGAACTATAAGAATAAGGTTGCTTCCCGCACCGAAGTTTCTCCTATTATTATCTATTATATGGCGATTTTATGGTCGAACAAAAAATTATTCTTTTACTAATCAAGTATCTGGTGATTTTGTGGTCGCAGAGTAAAATAATCGATTTTATGGTGAAAAAAATCCATTATTAAAAATCCTTTATTTTTATGTCGATTATATTGGAATTATAAAAGAATATAATAGATTACAATTTAAATAAAATTGACATGAAAATTCAATTGAAAACGCAAAAAAGTTCGACTTCAACGTTTTCAAATTCTCATTTGCCTGAGCATGAAAATATAAGATTATTAGCAAAAGAAAGCTTTTACTTAATTTTCGAACAGAATTTCAAGTTTTGTCACGTGTCTTGTTTTACATGTTTAATTACAGACCGCACTCTCTACAGACCGCAACCTCTATCCCAGTGAAACTCGAATTAATCAATTTGATTTGAATGGGCGGGATGGATGAACGGCAGGTATGAAAAATGATTTAACCCAACAAAAAAAGACTTCGTAAATTTGTTTAATTTGCATCGTACTGTAATATGGGAGATGAAAAATGTATCTTAGAATAAGTTTTAGAAGTCTTTTTTGTTGATGAAAGTCATCTTTCATGCCTGCTGTTAATCCGACTCATGATTTAATTTGGTGAATACCAAATCAAAGAGCTGGGTCCAGTGAATTATTTTTGCTCTGAAACTAATTTAGAAACCAAAAATTTCAGAGTTTACCAAGACTTGAAAGTTTCAAAAAAATCGGAATGTTTTTATAATGTTTTTAAATTTCAAATTTGATTGATTAAACTGATTGAAAACGGGAAAAGACAAAATAACGGGAAAAAAGTGCTGAAACTGCTGATAGTGAGTATCTAAATTTGTAATACCTTTGGAATGCTATAAAAAAAAATGTGTAGAATTGCTAGTTAAAGAGTTGACGTTGGTGTGTCTAAAAACTTTAATGTCAAACTTTTCTCTTTGATAGTTGAAAATACGGAGTGCGGTCTGTATTTAGACAACCGCGTATTTCCTCTAGTCAGTAAGCAGACGACTACTGTATGAATCAATCAGAATCGAGATGAGAAAGCAAAATTTCGAAATAAATAATTGCTGAAAGCACCATAGTCTTAAAAACCTTCAACTTTGAAATTTTGTTTTTCAAGGAAATATTAGATCTCAAAATTCTATTTCAGATTCAAATTTCAGATCTGAAATTTTCAAATTCTTATCAAGACCTGAAATAACAATTTTCAGATCTGAGAATCAATAAATGAAGATTCTCAGATCTTTTATAGAAAATTCATTAGACATGGGTTCACAGCGCTCTTTTAGTTGCGTTAGTCTAATATTGAACGTTTCACAGCTTAGCGAAAATTTAGTGCTGCGCGCGCCCTATCTGTTACTACCAAAATTCAAATATTGATCTCCCGAGGGAGATGTTTTTGAGAACTGGTCTGAATAAAAAAACCACCCCGCGCATATATTTTTCTGACTTTCTCTGAAAGTCTGATAAAAAACCGCCCCCAGCGCAAATATGGGGTTTCCGATCAAAAGCAAGCCAAAATATATGCAAAAGTTACGTGCGTAACCCATTACAATGACACAATATTTGCGTCTGAAAATTTTGATGATCTTATAGAAAAGTATGTGCATGCGATTTCTTTGTTTCTTACTGTTTTTTATAATCTTTCATCAACATTTTTTCATGCTCTGTTTTCGTTGCAACTTATTCACTCGCTTAAAAGTTGGAAGCTAACTTGGTTCTTGAAAACCAGCTAGAAATTTTAAAGCAGCTTTAAATTTTTTTTTTTTGATTTTATGTTACGGTCAGGTGTTGTTCCGACCATTTGAAAAATGCGGGGAACTTTGTTTTCGGGTGTGTTTTTGTTTTTTCTTTTTGTTTTCTACGCAAAATCTAACACCACAAACTATAATTGGAATGAATCAAGCTATATATAATAATGGAGCCCTATTAGTCGTGATGCGAACGGCATTCAGAAACACCGGTTTGAAAATTTTGCAATTTTGTCCAGGTTCGAGCTAACAACGTCAATGTGCAGGCTTACAATAGCTTATTAAAGCCGTGAAAATTTAGTTTTACTCGAGCAGAAGTAGTTTTTCGAGTTTTTAGCGCCATTTTGAGAATTTTAAAAAAAAATCTTAAAAAATCTTATAAGAATTGTAAAATTTTCAAAATTATTTTATATGATCTTTTGTTTAGTTTTTTTCGTCCTTTTCTATAAAAACGTTTTCTGATTGGCCGAACTGAAAGTGACTGTCAAATACGCCAAATTTTTTTTAATCGGTGGAGCCTTTTTATCACACCACACACAAAAAACTACACTATTTTTTCAGACTACAGTCGGAACATACTGTGCTAATTGCACAGTAGGCTGCTATCCTTGTTCATGTTTCATAACAGCTGAAAATTTTTCATTTCAATGTGGTGAAAAAAATTGATTTCAATGGACTTTTTGGAGAAAAAAATCAGTTTTCATGGATTTATCTTGAGAAACAATCGATTGTAATGGAAGAAAAATTGATTATAATGGATTATTTCAATATGAAAAAAAAACAAAAAAAAATTAGATTAAAAATGGATTGAAGTATCAAAACTGACATCTATAATTGATTATTTTGTCAAATATTTTGTCGTTAAAAATCCATTATAATCGATTATTATCCAAGAAACTCTAGTGCGGGTAAAGCTTTTAGATGCTTAAATGATGCTTACAGAATAGTCGAAAGCTAAATGTTTTAGTACTGAAATCATACTCGACTACAGTTCTTTTTAAAATTTGTTTGAAAAAAAAAAGAAAAAAAATGATTCAAAAACTTTTTCTCTGAGGTGGACTTGTATTGAAAGCTTTTGAAAATTAGTTTTTAACAAAAAAAAACGGAAACGCACAAAAATTTAATCTTTGTTAACATGTTGTTCTGAAGTAAAACTAATTTGACCACAGTTTAATCAACAAATTTAATGCTAACAAATGTTATTCGCTCAAAATTACACTATAAGCGATTAATTCAAAACCATTTTATTCCGCAATGAGTAGTTTTATAGAATACTTCTTACATTTCAATTGAGTTTAATTCAACATAGCACTCAATTATTCTATTGATTGTTCGTGTTGTCTGATTTGCGTGGAAAAAAAATATGAAAAGCCTGTACCGAATCTGAATTCAAAGTTTGTCCCAACGTTCAGTGGTCGGAACAAGGATATAGGACAATATACGGTAGTTCTTTGTTCACGGAATGAAGGGCACTAAGTAGGGGACAAGATTTGAGCCAATAAACAATTCTTATGAGCTGCACGCATTCATTTCCGTACATGCTACATACTTTGTTCTTCCGACTTTCGTAACGAAAATAACGGAACATTTGTGCTCGGGGTGGTTTTTTTTCTTCAGACAAATTTCTTTATTCTGAAAGTTTGCTTTCTCATCTCGATTCTGATTGGTTCATACAGTATTTTTCTGCTTACGGACGAGAAGAAATACGCGGTTGTTTAAATACACACCGCACTCCGTATTGTCGACTATCAAAGAGAGAAATTTGACCTTAGAGCTCTTAGACCTTCAACATTTTATTTATGACTGACACTTAAAATAAACCAATTAGAGAACACTGGATCCGTAGCTAATTTTTTATTCCGCTTTTATTAATCTACATTAAAATTGCTTTTGAAACTGAAAAAAACTATAACACTTAAAAATGAATATCAATCAATATGTTTCGCCTTACTTGCATTTTCGTTAATGGGAAGCGGTACCATTTTCGATTTTCCATGAAAAAATGTTTAAGAACGATAACCGGTTACAGTGCAAGTAGCAAAGAATGTTATGACCATAGTCTTAAAAACACACAAAACACAGAAGAGTTGAGTTGATGTTTCTTTTTTCTGATGAAGATTTTTTGTTCAGACCAAAGAAAATAGGTCGAAACTTCGCATTCGGACGTGTTCTACTATTTTCTTTTTATTTTCAACCGAAAATCAGATACCACAAATAATCATCAGAGTGGTTCGTGTGATACATCATATTACGGCCCTTTCAGCCGTGATTCAAACATGTTTTCAAAACTTCCAAAAACACCACTTCCAAAAAAACCACGACACCAATGGCAAAAAAAAACTTTTTTTTACGGCTATACTCGGAGCATTCTGTGCTACCTCCACAGTAGGCGGCTACCTTTTTTTCATTTTTCCACGCTAAGTTAGGTACTACAAATAGTCATCGTAAACTTTCAACCGACTCGACCCGCACTGACTGTTTCAACCGACTCGACCAAAGGAAAATGTGTTCGACTGTTTTCCACAAAACGTGCTAAGTGCCGACCAACTCGACCCAAACTGGCTAATTTTTGACCGAGTCGACCATTGGAAAATGTGATCGACTGTTTTTGACCAAAACGTGCTATGTTTCGACCGACTCGACCCATATTGGCTTTTTTCGACCGACTCGACCAATAGAAATTGTGCGCGACTGTTTTCGACCCAATTGTGTAATGTTCCGACCGACTCGACTCAAAGTGGCTATGTTTTTAGGAAGGCCTTCTTGTGTTTGTTCCTTCTTTTATATATGTCATCGGAAAGGCAGATATGTGCTAAGTTTATCTCCGAATTAGATCCTTCTCATGTTGGTTCACTATTTATATATGTCATGGGAACCACAGCACAAAACTACACACCGTCAAGTAATCTTACAATCTCGTTTCGATTGAGAAATCCTAACCGGTTGTAACGAAATGCCTGACTGTACCACAACAAACTTGAAAAAAAATTTCAAGATGGCTGGGTGAATGGATCGCTAAATGGTCAGTGATGTCTGGATGGACGAAGAGGTTGATTCGT